GCTGGAGATGAAGATGGTGAAGGGGGAGGCTTAACCTCCAGGAATGGAAGGATTGGGAAACAGTAACTCATGCACAACATTCTGTGAAAATGCAGCAGGTATACTTGGAGTGGGGGTGGCTTCTGTCACAGTTATTACCTCCTGGGGTCTAGAATGTGTCCTAGAGTCAAATGATTTTTCTAAAAAACCAAGTCTAGAAACAGGTTTCCGGGGTGCCTTGCAAATTAGCATTCTTTACGCCGAAAGAAAGCATTCATCTTTTTAAAGGAAAGCATTCATCTTGCTAAAGGAATCCCCTCTTTTGGCCCAGCTCATTATTTTTGTACTATCCAAATGTATAAGGTGTTAAGAGAAAGACTGAAGAAGAGTGAAATAAGAAAGTGCATGTATAAATTAACAGGGCAGAATTGGGACTGATATGTGTAAATTAAGAGGAAACATGTATAGGTTTTACATGAACATAAAAAGGACTTGTTTTAACCAGACATCTCCATATAAATAATGTGGGCTGTCTCTTGTGGATAACAGACTTCATCACAAGAACATTCCAGCAGAATCATGAGAGAATGGGAAGTGTGGCTTCTTTCCCAACTGGCAGCTTAGACTGAGTAAGTCACTGAAGAGAAAGGAGATGAAGGAGTAGATATGGATGAGGGTGACAGAAATAGGGTGGTGAAAGTAAAGAACTGCAAAGAATGTTTACCGAGGGCTCATCAGGTACCAGGCTCTGTGTCTAATGTCTTACACATCTTAGTTTACCCTTTCATGTAAATTTTCTGATGCAGTAAGAATCACTCTTGTGCTTCAGATGAGAAGAGGCTGAGAGAGGTGGAGTGAGTGGTCCAGGGTCATCCAGCCAGTTCATAGCAGAGCTGGTGTGTTTCACCCTCAACTTTGTGCACAGACAGAAAAGTGAGACACAGAAGGCAGGCAAAGCAAATTTTTGTTGTGGGTGAAGTTTATAAAAGGTACCTGTGTTGGGCAGAATAATGACCTCCTAAAAATGTCCACATCCTAATCTCTGGAGCCAAGGCATAATACTTTTATTTGGCAAAAAGACTTTCCAGATGTGATGAGGTTAAGAATCTTGAGATGGGAGGTTATTCCGGATTATCTGGGTGGGCTCAGTGTAATCAGAAGGGTCCTTGTAAGGGAAAGAGGAAGGCAGGAGGGTCAGGGTGAGAATGATGCAGCCTGAGAGACTCCACTGGCCATTGCTGGCTGTGAACTCATATCAAAAGACAAAATTACAGCAGCTTTAGTTATAAATCTAATTGGCTTTTATTTGGGATTTATAATTTGGGGCAGGTCCCACTTTACAAAAACAGTGATAGTTCCCCTTTGGCAATACAATAACAGAACAGTGGGTTTTGTCAAATTTGAACAAGAAAAGAGAGCAGTAGAAATAAATGTATTGGTTAACATCAGGTTAATTCAGGTTACTTTTTTATAAAAATTAAAGTAAAGGGGACCTCAAGTAGATTGGAATATCTTTTTTTTCTGTTTTTTTCTGAGGTGGAGTCTCACTCTGTCATCCAGGCTGGAGTGCAGTGGCGCAATCTCAGCTCACTGCAATCTTTGCCTCCCAAGTTCAAGCAATTCTCCTGCCTCAGTCTCCTGAATAGCTGGGATTACATGTGCCACCTCACCCAGCTAATTTTTGTATTTCTTCACCACGTTGGTCAGGCTGGTCTCAAACTCCTGTCCTCGTTATCCGCCTGCCTTGCCCTCCCAAAGTGCTGGGATTATAGGCGTTAGCCACTGTGCCCGGCCATTTTTTTTTTTTTTTTTATTGGTCTGTTTTGGGATCTATCTGCTTTCTTAAAATTTCAGTTGGAGTATGTAACATTTAACATCAGTGACCCTATTTTGGAGTCTCTATGCACTCACTTAGCTGAGAGTGTGACCAAAACTTAAAGTATTGACATTACTCTCAGCTACCATCATTTTGGGCTTCCATCATTCATAGGTTATGATGTCTTCCTGATCACACATTCCTTTGAGTTTTGTCACCAGCCAAAGAGAGACCATTTGACATTTGATGGATAGCTGCATGCAAACATTTAAAGCTTTTAGAGATTACAGCACACCAGGGAGACTACTAGTGTGACTATCAGGAGAATAACACCAAGAGTTTGGAGTATGCACCTTAGGCAAGATGCAAACCAACTAAAATGGAATAAAGAATGAGCCAGATGAGTCTACCCATTTTAACCAAGCAGGATGTTTGTTAATTTCTGCAACTGAGTCTCTATAATACCCATTGTATTTATTTATGTGCAACAAGAAGTGTCAGAAACAGCACAGGCTTTTTCCTGTTCAGCTAGTAGGTAGCAATTCTATTATCTAGCATCTCATGCCTGGGTTACATTAAAACAGGGAGTGAGAACAGGTGAGTCTAGAAGTGTAACTCTAAAAGGGACCACCATACATTTGAACCAACAGTTGTATTAAAGATGCTGTTAATGTCAGCCATTGAGTGGACTAAAGGATCTCTTATGTAAAAATTTGGGAGTGATATGTGAGATCTGATATTCTGTTAAGCTACCTTCAGAAGATACTTCCTGTGAAATTCTAATGACAGCATTATCCTGCCAAGCGAAAGAGGCAGCAAAGAGCAAGGACAAATTAAGAGGGGTAGGAGCCTCACCATGGTGGGAAGCCTTATTCTGACATCTTGAGAAAAGCTGTCCACAGTGTGAAGTTGTCAATTTCTTGTCCTGGTTTGCAATTTCAGTGTCTCTAGTTATGGTGTTGAACATATTGGTGAGCTCTGAGTGGCCCACACCTTAGGCATGAGTGTTTTCCCATGAAATTTACATTGAGTTATCCATCTGTAGCTTATAGAGCTTCAGGAACAGAGCAGACTTTGTTCTTAGTGATCATGACAGAAAATGGGATTGAAGAAAGTGGAAGAATGCAGGGTCCACTCTAGCCTACAGGTGGATAATAAAAACTCAGTAACAATGTACAAAGTGACAGCCTCATAACAGGTGTACTATAGTTTTTCTTTTCAACATAATTTCTCTCCATAGGCATCTCTATTTCTACCAAAGATAATCCCAATAAGACAAATTTGTTTTCTTTTAAATAAGTTTATTTTCATCAAACTTGGCCTCATTCTTTTCATAACTGCAGCAAGAGTAGCGACTGACCACATAGACTTTTTTAAAGTTGCTTCTTTTTTAAAGAAGTGTTTATAGGGAATCTCAGATTAAACTTTTGGAAGTTTAGTTGACACTAGGAAGCCAAACCAAGGCTGACTTCAGACTTTGTCTGCAGTACCTATGGGTTTATTACCTGTGGGTTTATATCCTCAAATATGACATTCTAGTCAAAGTCTTAGTAATATAATCAATGTTTTCAAATGTATTCTGTTATACAAAGAGCAGAGTTATTGAACTTGTACAATAAACATATTACCATACAATATAAATATTCATGAATAGTTTCCCAAGTCTGGAGTGATCACATAGGGAGAAAATGTAAATGTCTCAATGTTTGTTCACAAAAGTATATTTTATCAAATTGTTGTAAGCTGTAGATAGCTCAAAGGAAAAAAAGTTTCCTGAAATCTGGGAAACAAGACATTTAAAGAATCAGCAAAATTTCAAATAAAAATTTATGAAAATATTATCCTCATTAGTTCATTTGGTCCCATGAAATTAATTATTTTCTCTGCTTGATCTTGGTTGGCAGTTTCGTGAAGCTGTCAGTTTGTTCATTAATGTTTTGGAAATTCTGAGACAGTCCAGTGGTATCAGAAACTTGCATTCAAGAGTACAGGTCAGAGTCTTTTCTTTCGTGTGTGTGTGTGTGTGTGTGTGTGTGTGTGTGTATATATATATATATATATATTTTTTTTTTTTTTGATATGGAGTCTTGCTCTGTCACCAGGCTGGAGTGCAGTGGCGCGATCTCGACTCACTGCAATCTCTGCTTCCCAGGTTCAAGTGATTCTCCTGCCTCAGCCTCCTGAGTAGCGGGGACTACAGGAGCACGCCACCAAGCCCAGCTAATTCCGTAGAGATGGGGTTTCACCATATTGGCTAGGATGGTCTCGATCTCTGGTCAGAGTCTTTTCTATAAATATCCTTGGTAAAGAAGCAATTTTAGACTGTAGCTGTTGCAAATGCTTTAAGGAAGAATCAAAACAACTGTCTGTGAATGACAAAGATTTAAAATGAGTATGGTTAAAAATCTGATGAGAATTTATTATAATAAGAACACAACTCACATAGAAATTTAGTTACTTCTGTGGCATATGACATTATGGCTGACAACCTGTTAGATTTCTAGAATTTCTTATATAACTTTTGGAACACTCACATCAATAACATACTCATAAATATAACTTAAAGAAGGTTTAGCATCACTTATCATTTGACAGCGCTTCCCATATAATTTAACATGTCAAATAAGATGACCTTTCCATTTAGCTTCTGTTTCTCAACTGGATTCCTGAGTTCCTGATGGAGCCCATTAATGAACAGGGCCAACAAAGTATAGGCTTATGTATGTTGAAAAACTCCATAGGCAATTCTAATACTCCTAGCTGAAAGTCATGGGTTTAGCCCCAAGTCCTACCTATTTAGAACAGGGTTTCTCCACCCTGGCTACACATTAGTAGCATCTGGGGAGGCTTAAAAACTATGAATGCCTGGGTCCCACTCCAGACCAGTAAATCAGAATTTAGGGGTGGGGCTTAAGTATCCACTTTATAAAATGTTTCTGAGTGATTCCCATGTGTAGCTATATTTTCCATCAGATTTCTCTGATTTCTCGTGACGTTCACTCCTTTCTATTTTGGTATTACGATTATTTTTCTGGTTTTGTCTCCTGTCATAGAATTAAGGACCTTGCCTTCTTCATTTCTGTATCTGCTATGAACACATGAATTGGTTATCAGGAAAAGGTTCTCAGCCACAGGTAGGTTGTGTCCTGAGCTTAAGACTCATATGTTAATGCTACAGTCTTTGTTCTTCATGAGGTCAGAAGTTGCTTGTGATGAAGGGTGTGGGTAACTCCACAGTGCAGATGGTGGAAGGAGGTCACCCTATTTGACATGTTTTTAGGTGTAACATTGGAACTAAGAATTCTGTGTTCATATGGGGTGGAGAGGCAGGGATATGTAGGGAGACAGATCTAATTCGGATGACGGAATTATACAAGGAAGTGGTGGTAAAGGAATCGAGAAAGCTTAGTAAAGAGAAGAAATGTGAACTTATCTAATAGACCACAGTAGGTCCCTGTGTCTTCTTGAGTAGGCAAGTGAACTAGATTTTAGGAAGGTAATGAGGCAGTCATATGCAAGAAACATTTCAAAGACTGGCAACAAGGGGTCAAGCAGGACTTTGAGCAGTTGTCGAGGTTTATGGGAATGGAGAGAATGACACAAGTGAGAGATGTTAAGAAAGGACCAAAAGGCTTTGACAATGTATTGAATCTGGGAAACAAATGAGCAGAGGCTGGGGATAATTATGTCCCTGTGGGGTACAGGGAGCATGAAGACCAGGGAAGAAGAGACCTGCAGGAATTAGTGCTGAGAAGCAGGAGCTTGGGGGTAGGAGGAGGAGATCCAGTCCCAGATACAGGCGAAGAAGTCCTTTCTCTCTCCCAAGCATGGCAGTCAGCACTGCAGGAAACCGAACAAGAGGAAAGGCTGTCATACCTACCAGTCTTTCTTAATTGCAGAAACTACACCAGGGCTGCTACATCAGAGCAACCCCAACCAGCATTCCAATTATGATGCTGACAGTAGCCCTAGCTGAGAGACCAGAACTTCCAGGTGCTGAATCGCCTGTCATGGAAAGAAAAGAGAAGGAATGAATGTGATGTTATTTTGCAGTGGAGTGCCCCAGGTTCCAGCTCTCAGCATGAAGTAGTCTCTACTTGTTCCTTCAAGGAGTGCATTAGTTTTGTGGGAAGGTTGCAATTTTTTTTTCTCTCTCACTGTGTTTCTAGTTGGTGATCAGTCTTCTGTCAATTCCACCCTGGCCTTTCTGCACTCAGATATTTCTGAAGGCTTTGAAATTTGAGAAAGACTGATTGCTATTTTTGCGTGGCATTAGAACTTTCTATCTTTTCATGGTTGCATCTTTTTCTCAGTGTCTCAGTTGTGGTAAGCAAAAATAAGAGTCTGTTGGGTCTCCATGGCAGGGACTTGATTGACAGAAAGCCCAGGCTAGTGCATTCTGTATTTACTGAGTCCGTTGCACAGAGAACTCGCTTCTCATGGGTTCCCAGCAGCGGAATGAAAAGCCCAGTTTTGGGAAACTCTGCTTCTCTCTCATGGGTGAGGGGCTTGAGGATGCCCCACCAGCCTTGTGGAAACTCTGAGAACTGCACCACTATCTAAAACTCTCTCCTCTTTCTCCTTTTCAGGAATCAGATCTGCATCGTGGTCTGAGGTCTCTCTTAGGCTCCTCCCACTTCCCACTTTTCCTCATGGTGGTTTTCTCCAGTAAATTATCTTGCATCTCTAATTCCATCTTGGTTGCATCTCAGTGGATGAAAACTAACATACCAGGCTTGATTCTTTGCACTTAACTTTTTTTCTCTCCCCCATTTTTAGCCAGTAACCATGTCCCAGTGGGTTTTCATTTGGGGCTTAGCTCTCACCAGTCAACTCAGGCTGGTGATTAATGCTATGTTAGCTACTGTAAATGCTTTTCTGGTATCTCATTTGATCCATACAATAACCCTGTTGGGTAGGCATGATTTCCATTTTACAGATGAAATGACAGAGGCTTGGAGTAGTGAAAAAAACTTATCCAAAGTCAAATGATTAGTGAGAAGTGGATCTAGGATTTGGCTCTGGAACTGCCTGACTTCAAGCTAATAATACCAGTAGTGATAATAGCAGCTAATATTTATGAAGTTTCCCTCGGTGTGTGGCATTTTGCTGAAGGCTTAATCGAATATTACATTAAATCTTTAAAACAACACTATTGAACAGTCACTCTTATTGCAATTTTCCTTTTTCCCTCCATTTCCTGGTGATGAGAATTATCACAATTTTCAGTTGAAGAATTGAAGGCTCAGAGAAGTTAAGAATCTTGTGTGAGAAATTTAAAATGGTAAATACGTTAAAAATAAAGGGAGATCTCATATCAACAACCTAACTTTACAACTTCAGGGTACAGAAAAAGAACCACCTCAAACCACAGATAGTACATGAAGGAAATAAGGATTAGAGTTGAAATAAATAAAATGGAAAACAATAGAAGGAATCAATGAAACCAAAAGTTGGTTCTTCAAAAAAGCTCAACAAAATTGACAGTCATTTATTAGACTGGCTAAGAAAAAAGAGAGAAGATTCGAATTACTAAAATCAGAAATGAAAATGGAGGTATGGTGACTCACATATTTAATCCCAGCACCTTGGGAGACTCAAGCAGGAGGATTGCTCGAGGTCAAGAGGGCGAGACCAGCCTAGGCAACATAGGGAGACACAGTTTCTACAAAATTTCTTTAAAAACTATCCAGACATGGTGGCACATGTCTGTAGTCCCAGCTTCTCAAGAGACGGGGATAGGAGGATCACTTGAGCGCAGGAGTTGAGGCTGCAGTAAGCTGTGATGGTACTACTGCACTCTAACTTGGGCTGGGCTACAGAGTGAGACCCTGTCTCTTGGAAAAAAAAAAAATATTGAGATATTGCCAGCAATACTACAAATTCTACAGAAATATTAAGGACTACAAGAGTGCTATGAATAATTGTATGCCAGCAAACTGTTGAATGACCAAGATGAAATGGACAAATTCCTGGAAACACACAAAAAAATTCAATTTTAATAGACCTATAATTAGATAGAACGAATAAAAGCATTTGACAAAATTCACCACTCTTTCATAACAAAAACACTCCAATTATGAATGGAAAGAAACCACCTCAGCATAATAAAGGCAATATGTGGAAAGCCCAATGCTAACATGAGACTCAGTGGAGAAAGACTGAAAGCTTTCCCTGTAAGATCAGGAACAAGACAAGAATGCCTGCTTTTGCCACATCTATCCAACATAGTATTAGAAATCCTAGCCACAGAAATTAGGCAAGAAAAAAAAAAGACATCCAAATTGGAAAGAAGAAGTGAAATGATCTCTGTTATCAGATAACTTGAACTTATTTGTAGAAAACCCTAAAGATTAAAAGAAACTGTCAGAGTTAATAAATAAATTTGGTAATGTTGCAGGATACAAAATCAACATGCAAACATCAGTTGCACTTCTATATATTAACAATGAACAATCTAAAAGGAAATTAAGAAAAAATTTCCAATTTACATTAACATAAAATAGTATAAAATAGTTAGAAATAAGTTTAACCAAGGAGGTGAAAGGATTGTACCCTGAAAACTATAAAACCTTGCTGAAAGAAATTAAAGACAACATCAATAAATGGAAAGACATTTTTTTTTCATGAATGGGAAAACTCAATATTGTTAGGAGGACAATACTGCCCACAGTGAGCTGCAGGTTCAATGCAATTCCTACCAGAGTCCCACTGACATTTTTTACAGAAACAGAAAAACCTATCCTAAAATTCATATGGACTCTCCGGACTCTAAATAGCCAAACAACCTGGAAAATAAAGAATGAAGCTGGAGGACTCACACTTCCTGATTTCAGCATTTGCTATAAAGCCACAGTAATCAATGCAGTGTGGTACTAGCATAAAGGAAGATATTGAAACCAATGGAATAGAATATAGAGCCCAGAAAGAAACGCTTGCGTATATGGCCAAATTATTTTTGACAAGGGTGCCAAGACCATTTAATGGGGAAAGGATATTCGTTTCAATAAATGGTATGGGGAAAGCTGAATACCCATGCACAAGAACAAGTTGAATCTTTGCCTGACACTATATATGAAAATTAACCTAAAATGGATCAAAGACCTAAATGTAAGAGTGAAAAGTATAAAACTCTGAGAAGAAAACAGGGAAAAAAGCTTAATGACATTTGATTTCATAGTAATTTCTTGGTTATAACAACAAGTAGGCACCAAAAGAAAAACATGGATAAAATGGACTTCATGAAAATTAAAAACTTTTTTTTTTTTTTTTTTAATGGAGTCTCGCTCTGTTGCCCAGGCTGGAGTGCAGTGGCGTGATCTCAGCTCACTGCAAGCTCCGCCTCCCGGGTTCATGCCATTCTCCTGCCTCAGCCTCCCGAGTAACTGTAACTATAGGCACCCGCCACCACACTGGGCTAATTTTTTTTTTGTATTTTTAGTAGAGATGGAGTTTCACCATGTTAGCCAGGATGGTCTTGATCTCCTGACCTCATGATCCACCCACCTTGGCCTCCCAAAGTGCTGGGATTACAGGCATGAGCCACTGTGCCCAGCCTCGAAAATTAAAAACTTTTATATATCAAAGAACATTATCGAGAAAGTGAAAAGGCAACCTATGAAATGGGAAAAATATTTGCAAATCATATATCTGATAGGGAATTAATTTCCAGAATATATGAAGAACTATTACAAATCAACAACCACAAAAATCCAAAAACCCAATTAATAAATGGACAAAGGACTAAAGTAGAGATTTCTCCAAGGAAGAGATACAAGTGGCCAACAAGTACATGCAAATATGCTCAACATCACTAACACTTAAAGATATGCAAATCAAAGCCACAATGATACTCCACCTCACACACATCAGGATGGCCACAAAACAGTAAGTGTTTTCAAGGAGGTCGAAAAATTGGAACTCTAGTGCATTGCTGAGAGAAATGTGAAATATTAGCTCCTATGGAAAATGGTATGGTGGTTCCTCAAAAAATTAAAAAAATAATTAACATTTGATCCACCAATTCCACTTCTGGACATACACCAAAAAGAATTGAAGGTAGCAATTTGAACCGACATTTGTATACTGATGTTCACAGCAGCATTACTCACAATAGCCAAAAGATGGGAACAACTGAAAAGTCCATTGAAAGATAAGTGGATAGAAAAATGAGGTATGTCCATACAATGGAATGTTATTCAATCTTAACAAGGAATAAAATTGTGATACATGGTGCAAAATGGATGAACCTTGAAGACATTATACTAAGTGAAATACAGCAGACACAAAAGGACAACTATTATGTAATTCCATGTATGTAAGCTCGTTAGAATAGTTCATGACCTAGAGACAGAAAGTAGAATGGAGGTTACCAGGGTTTAGGGGGAGAAGGAGTGAGAGTTACTATTTATCGGGTACAGAGGTTTAGTATGTTAAGATAAAAAAGTTCTGGAAATGGATAGTGTGAAGGTTACACAAGAGTATAAAGATACTTGATTTATTTTTCCTTTTTTTTTTCGTGACAAGAGTCTCACTCTGTCACCCAGCCTGGAGTGCAGCGGCACAATCTTGGCTCACTGCAGCCTCCGCCACCCAGGTTCAAGCAATTCTCCTGCCTCAGCCTCCCTAGTAGCTGGGACTACAGGCATCTGCCATCATGCCTAGCTTTTTTTTTTTTTTTTTTTTTTGTATCTTGAACTCCTGATCTCAAGTGATCCACTTGCCTTGGCTTCCCAAAGTGCTGGGATTACAGGCATGAACCACCACACCGGGCAATATACTTGATTGATATTTATGCTGTGTCACTTAACTGTACACTTAGAAATGGTTAATGGTAAGTTTTATGTTAGATATATATACTGGCTGGTGGACTTACCCTCTCTATAAATACACACTTTCTGGCACTGCCCCTTCCCTCCCATGCAGAGCTCCTGTGGCTGAATCTCCCTATTTCTCCAAGTGTGTGCCACTCACTGTCCTCTGTGCTGTGTCCCATGTGCTGGGTCCACAGCCTCATACAGTGACTTCAGAGCCAGGACACAGCTCAGGAGTCTGTCCCGAGGCTCCCTCTTTTCCCATTTCCCTGCAACCTGACCCGAGGGAGACTGTGCTGTGGATTGGCAGCTCGATTTCACCAGATTCAGAACAGGCCACCTTTACACCTTCTCCACATGCCCCGGTCCCACCCCAAGTGGAGCCAGGGCAGAGCCAGTCACCAGGTGAGCCGGGCGCAGAGCAGGGAGCAGAGTCTGAGTTGCTCCTCCCTCATCCAAGGGGCTTCCTCCTCTCATTTGGGGAAAAAGTGTGAGCTTGTTTCAAAACCTCCTTGTTCCTTGTAGCTCATAGAGTAGGTTAAAAAAACACAAAGAGGTGACAGAAAGGGACATATTGGTGATAGAGAGGAGAAACTCGACCTTAAAGACCCTTCTTTTCTTTCTCCTGGACTATGAAGCCCCTTCCACTATAGGGGGCCTTCTGGGGCTAAGGGAGCCCCCTCCCCACATTCCAGGCTGGACCCGAGGTCAGCCTTGAGATATCAGAGAAGCTGGGGAGGAGAGAGTTGGCCGAGATGGAGTGAGAGGGCTCAGGGTAGAATTTGAGATTTCCTTGTGCCCATGGAACACAGACTGGGCAAGAAAATGTCTTCTTGGCTCTTTTGTGAGAACCAGGTAGACTCCACCCCAAAACGTGATGCTGCTGCTCCAGGGAAGCCACTTACCAGAGGAGACTGAGATGTTCTTGACTATGGAGTTATTGCGACCAGTAGCCAAGTTAGAGACAAAACAGGCATAGGCCCCGTTATTGTTTGATGTGATTTTGGAGATAAAGAGAACTTGTGTGTGTTGCCGCAGTGTCCCATTGATAAGCCAAGAATACTGCGGGGATGGGTTAGAGTCCGAGTGGCAGGAGAGGTTGAGGTTTGCTCCCGAACGGTAAGACAAGTCTGGGGGGGATATGATGGGGGTGTCCGGGCCATCTGGAACAAAGAGAACAAAGCCACAGGTGATGTCATCAGAGGAAAGGGGAAGCTCCTGATTGTAGAAGGGCCACAGTGTCCTTCTGAGTCCTGTCCCAATCCTGTGTTAAAAAGTCCAAACCATAACCCTCATGTCCCCTGAGTCTGGGTCTGAGACATTCACCTGTTTCTCCCATCACAGGCTGTGGACCCTGAGCCTCCCAAGACAGGGGCAGCTCCTCCCCTCCTATTCTTTTTTTTTTTTTTTTTTTTTTTGAGACGGAGTCTTGCTCTGTCGCCCAGGCTGGAGTGCAGTGGCCGGATCTCAGCTCACTGCAAGCTCCGCCTCCCGGGTTTACGCCATTCTCCTGCCTCAGCCTCCCGAGTAGCTGGGACTACAGGCGCCCGCCACCTCGCCCGGCTAGTTTTTGTATTTTTTAGTAGAGACGGGGTTTCACCGTGTTAGCCAGGATGGTCTCGATCTCCTGACCTCGTGATCCGCCCGTCTCGGCCTCCCAAAGTGCTGGGATTACAGGCTTGAGCCACCGCGCCCGGCCTCCCCTCCTATTCTTGGTCCAGGCTGGGTTTGCCCTAGTTTTCCCAGGGCAGGAAGTCATGGCCAGCCTGGGTGTCCAGGAGTGGCGGTCTGCATCTGTGGACCTGAGGAGAACTGAGAGTCCTAACCTCTGGCTGTATGGATTTGGGTTGGAAACCAGGGCCACAGAGGAACAGAAGATACTCACAGGTGACATTCAGGGTGACTGGGTCACTGCGTTTTGCACTCTCTGAGTTCTGGATTCCACATTCATAGGGTCCTGTGTCATTCCTTGTGACACTGAGTAGAGTGAGGATCCTGTTGCCATTGGAGAGCTGCAGCCTGGGACTGACCGAGAGGCTCTGATTGTTTACCCACCACAGGTAGGTTGTGTTCTCAGCCACAGATTCACAGGTTAAGGTCACAGCATCCTTGTCCTCTATGGGGTTGGAGTTGTTGCTGGTGATGTAGGGCTTGGGAAGCTCCACTGTGTAGATAACAGAGAAGATTGCCCCGTGTGGCACCTTTGATTCCTCACAGGCATCTTTCAATCAGAGTTGGCATCTCCCACCCCTGGGACTGGACTGAGAGGTTCTGGATTACCTACCACATGAGTTGCCTTTGTCACAGATTCACAGGTTAAGGTCAAGCAGCATCCTGTCCCCATGGGGAAGTGGAGTTGTTGCTGGTGATGCAGGGCTTGGAAGCCCACCTGTGTGGGTAGAATGAGAAGATTGCCTGTGCACCTTTGATTCCTCACAGCATCTTTCAATCAGAGTTGGCATCTCCCCACCCCTCAGCCCACCTGAGTCCTTGTGCCCAGGCAGTGTGTCACAAGACAGATGCACAATGATCTGAGGGCTCAGAGACTGTAAGGCCGGTTGCTTTGTGGGAGAAGTACAGACTTTTCTCAAGTGTGAATTGGGCAGTAGCATTGGGTTGTGGACAGACACAGGACTGGGGGTCACAGCCCCCAGCACTTCTGGTCCTTTCCTGACTGTCTGGCTGCCTGGCCCATTGGGGTCCTCACCTGGAATTGGAAGGAGCTGAGTTTCTTTCCAGTTGCACGGTCCCACACCCAGCCAAGGTATGTTCTCTGGAGGCTTTGGTTATTTTTGGCACATCCAGAGAAGGTGAATATAGAATGTGCCTGACAGAGCCAGCACAGGAGACTAGGAGCAAGTCTGTGCAGTAGCAGCCTGGGGCCAGACTGTGGGGCCATAGGTAGGCAGTCTGTCCCAGGAGTTGATGGGAACAGAGTTTCATTTCTTGGAGGAATAAAGAGTTGTGTAGGTAGATAAAAAGAGAGGTGAGTGGTTCAAGTGGAATAGATTTAATACCACTGAAACTTGGGTGGATGTGTGAGAAAGGTTAAGATAAGGGTGCCTTCTGTGTTAGACACTCACACCTTTCTGTATAAACACAAAATTCTTTGACACTGCCCATTCCCTGCCATGCAGAACTCCTGTGGTGCATCTCCTGATTTCTCCAAGTGTGGGTCGTCGCTGTCCCCCTGTGCTGTGTCCCATGTGCTGTGCCCACAGCCACATACACCTGGTGATGTCAAAGCCAGGACACAGTTCAGGAGCCTGCCCCTGAGGCTCCCTTTCTTTCCTACTCTTTCCTGCAGCCTGGACTGGAGACGACGGGAGGCTTTGGTGTTGACTGGCAGCTTGATTTACTCTTAATTCAGGACAGACCACCTGGGCCCTTTCTCCACACACGTGGGTCCCACCCCAGGTGGAGTCAGACAAGGCCAGTCACGGGGGGTGGGGGAGCCCAGAGCAGAGCAGGGAGCAGAGTCTGAGCTGTTTCTCCTTTACCCAAGGGCCTTCTCATTTGGGAAAAAGTATGAGCTGTTTCAGCAAGTCTTCAATGTTCCTTGCAGTTCACGGAGTAGGCAAAAGAACACAAAGAGGTGGAGGAAAGGGACAGATTGGTGACAGAGAAAGCAACTTGACCTGAGAAACCCTTGCTCCTTCCTAATTTCAGGTAGCTTCCTCCACTATACAGGCTCGGGGCTGAGGGAGCCTCCTCCCACATTCCAGGCCAACCCAGGGTCAGCCATGAGAAATCAGAACAACACGGAGAAGAGAGTCTGTAGAGACACACTGGGGAGGTCCAGGGGGAGAATCTGGGATTTGCTTGTGCCCATTGGACACAGACTGGGATAGAAAATTTCCTTCCCTGGCTCTTCTCTGAAACCAGACAGACTCCACTCAAAACGTGATGTCAGCGCCTTGGGATCCACCACTCTTACCGAGACTGTGATCGCGTGACCGTGGTCCTACGAGGCCAGTGGCTGAGTTATGGGCTTGCACATATAGGATCCACGTATGACCATGGTGATGTTGGGGATAAAGAGCTCTTGTGTGGATTGCTGGAACACCCCATCGACAAACCAAGAGTACTGTGCAGCTGGGTTAGAGGCTGCGTGGCAGGAGAGGTTCAGATTTTCCCCTGCTCTGTAAGGTGTGTTTAGAGGGGAAATGGTGGGCGCATCCGGGCCATCTGGACAAGAGAATAAAGTCACAGGTGAGGCTAGCTGTGAGGGGCGGCCCTGGTCTCAAAGGACCACGGTGTCCCTCTCTAAGCTGAGTCACAACCCTAAAGTCTCAAACCAAACCTCTTGTATCTACTGAGCCTGAGTCTGAGACATTCACCTGTTTCTCCCATCACAGGTGTGGACCTCTGAGCTCTCCCAGGACAGGAGCAGCCTCCTCCTATTCTTGATTAAGACTTGGTCTGCCCAGGTTTTCCTGGGGTAGAAAGTCACAGACAGTCTCGGGATGTCCAGGGGTGAGGGTTCGTGTACTTGAACCTGAGAGGGACTGAGAGGCCCGGCCTCTGACCCTGTATCGGGCCGGCAGCCTGGGCCAGAGAGGAGCAGAGATACTCATGTAGAGAACATTCAGGTGACTGGGTCGCTGCGCTGACACTCACTGGGTTCTGCCTACATTCGTAGGATGTTGTGTCATTTCTTGGAATATTGAATACAGTAGGGTTCTGTTGTCACTGACAGCCCCAGCCTGGGACTCCATCTGGGAGGCTCTTGATTGTTTACCCACCACAGGTAGGTTGTGTCCTGAGTCTCAGGTTCACAAAGGTGCCTTCATGGCATCCTTGTCCTCTATGGTTGGAGTTGTTGCTGGTGATGTAGGGGCTTGGGCAACTCCGTCAGAGATAAGAGAGAGAAGGTTGCCCTGTGTGGGGCCTCTTTGATTCCTCACAGGCATCTTCATCAGAGACACTCCCCACTCCTCAGCCCACCTGAGTCCTGGGGTGGCCCAGGACAGGTGTGTGTGTGTGTCACAAGACAGATGCACAATGATCTGAGGGCTCAGAGACTGTGGGCTACGGGGCTGCTTTGTGGGGAGAAGCATGACTTTCATGTGGAATTTGGGGGTGGTGGCATTGGGTTGTGGCACAGACGGGGTCAGCAGCCCCAGCACTTCTGGTCCTTTCTGACTGGCCTGGCTGCCTGGCCCACGGGGTCCTCACCTGAATTGGAAGGAGCTTGTGCTTCTTCCAGCTGCACGGTCCCACACCACCCAGCCAAGGTGTGTTCTCTTCTGGAGGCTTGCTATTTAAGGACATCCTAGAGGATGGGTGATGATGGGGATCGTGTTTGAGCAGAAATAGCGAGGGAGACTAGGAGCAAGTCTAAAGGTGACAGGGTCAGGGGTCAGACTGGGCTATTGTAAATAGGGGCAGCTCTGCCCAGGAGTTTGATGGGAACAGAGTTTCATTTTGGGAGGAAGGAAGGAGCTGTGTGACAGATGGTGGTGATGGTAGCAGAACAAGCGGAATAGATTTAATACCACTGAACTGCACGTGTAGAAAGGTTAAGATGGTAAGTCTGTATTAGATATGCACTGTTACCTCCTGTATAAATACAATTTTTGACACTGCCTGTTCCTGCCATGCAGAGCCCTGTGGTGCATCTCCTAGATTTCAAGTGTGGTCGTTTCGTTGTCCCCTGTGCTGTGTCCCATGTGCTCTGCCCACAGCCTCATATACCTGATGACGTCAGAGTCAGGACACAGCTCAGGAGCCTGCCCCTGAGGCTCCTTTCTTCCATTTTCCTGCAGCCTGGACTGGGACGAAGGAGGCTTTGGTGTTGATTGGCAGCTTGATTTAGCCTAATTCAGATGACCACCTGCTCCTTCTCCACATACCTGTGAACCCACCCCAGGTGGAGCCAGATGGCCAGCCTACGGGGGAGCCCAGAGCAGAGCAGGAGCAGAGTCTGAGCTGTTTCTCCTTTACCCAAGGCTTCCTTCTCTCATTTGGGAAAAAGCATGAGCTTGTTTCAGCCTCGAATGTTCCTTTGCAGTTCACGGAGTAGGCAAAAGAACAATAAAAGAGGTGATAGAAAGGGACAGATTGGTGGACAGAGAGAAGCAACTTGACCCTGAGAACCCTGTTGCTCCTTCCCACTCTGTGAAGCTTCCTCCACTATACAGGGCTCGGGGCTGAGGGAGCCTCCCTCTCCTCATTCCAGCTGGACCCAGGGTCAGCCATGAGAAATCAGAACAACACGAGAAGAGAGTTCAGAGAGACACACTGGGGAGGTCCAGGGGGAGAATCTGGGATTTGCTTGTGCTCATTGGACACAGCCGGGATAAAAATTTCTTCCTGGCTCTTCTCTGAAAACCAGACAGACTCCACCTCAAAACGTGATGTCAGCGCTCGTGGATCCACTTACCGTAGACTGTGATCGCCGTGACCGTGGTCCCAGCTGAGGCCAGTGGCTGAGTTATGGGCTTGGCACATATAGGATCCGCTATTATTCACAGAGATGTTGGGGATAAAGAGCTCTTGTGTGGGATTGCTGAACACCCCATCGACAAACCAAGAGACTGCAGCTGGGTTAGAGGCTGCGTGGCAGAGAGGTTCAGATTTTCCTGCCTGTAAGGTGCTTAGAGGGAAATGGTGGGCGTATCCGGGCCACTGGAGCAAAGAGAATAAAGCCACAGGTGATGTTATCAGAGGGAAGTGGAAGTTCCTGGTCTGTGGAAGGACCACGGTGTCCCTCTGCTGAGTCACAAACCTCAAAGTCTCAACCAAACCCCTCTTGTATCTACTGAGCCTGAGTCTGAGACATTCACCTGTTTCTCCCATCACAGGGTGTGGACCCGAGCCTCCCAGACAGGAGCAGCCCCCTCCCTCCTATTCTTGATCAAGACTTGGTCTGCCCAGTTTTCTGGGTAGAAAGTCACAGACAGTCTGGATGTCCAGGGTGAGGGTCTGTGTACTGAACCTGAGAGGGACTGAGAGGCCTTCGCCTCTGACCCCAGGATTTGGGCCGGCAGCCTGGGCCAGAGAGGAGCAGAGATACTCACAGAGAACATTCAGGGTGACTGGGTCGCTGCGTCTGACACTCACTGGGTTCTGGGTTTCACATTCGTAGGATGTTGTGTCATTTCTTGGAATATTGAATACAGTGAGGGTCCTGTTGTCACTGGACAGCTCCAGCCTGGGACTGACCGGGAGGCTCTGATTGTTTACCCACCACAGGTAGGCTGTGTCCCGAGTCTCAGGTTCACAGGTTAAGGTCAAACAGCATCCTTTGTCCTCTATGGGCTTGGAGTTGTTGATAGTGATGTTGGGCTTGGGCAGCTCCGCTGTGCAGATAACAGAGAGAAGATTGCCCTGTGTGGCACCTTTGATTCCTCCACAGGCATCTTTCAATCAGAGTTGGCACCTCCCACCTCCCAGCCCACCTGAGTCCTTAAAAGCCCACAGCTGGTGTGTGTGTCACAAGACAGATGCATGATGATCTGAGAGCTCTGAGGCCACCTGCTCTGTGTGGGAAAATCACAGACTTTCTCAAGTGGGAATTGAGCAGCAGCATTGGGCTGTGGACAGACACAGGACTTGGGGGGGGGTCACAGCTCCTGGTGCCTCTCCTGGTTCCTCCCTGACCAGCTGACTGCCTGGCCCACCTTGGGGTCCTCACCTGGAACATTCAGGTGCTGAGTCTCTTCCACCTTCAGTCCTGCTTTGTTTCCCTAGGTGTATTTTTTCTGCAGCTTCCCTGTCTAAGGACATCCTAGAAATGGATGATGATAGGACTTCCCATTGTCCTTAAACCCTGTAGATATTGCACAGGCTGGCCTGGGACTGGATGTTTCAGCAGAAATAACACAGGGGACACCAGAGGCAAGCCTGGAGGTCAGCTCAGTCATCAGGCAGTGGAGGCACAAGGTGGGACAGTTTTCCCCAGGTGTTTGATGATGACTGACTTGAGCCAGTGACCCCTAAAGATAGAGTGGAGTCCAGGGAATGATCTAGAAAAGAGTGAGGTGACAGGCAGGAGCTGCCTGGATTTAACAGCAGAACCATATGTATGTTCTTTGTCTTTGGTCTTTTTTTTTGTTTGTTTATTTTTCAAGATGGAGTCTTGCTGTGTTGGCCAGGCACGATCTTGGCTCCCTGCAACCTCTGCCTCCCGGGTTCAAGCAATTCTCCTGTCTCAGCCTCCCGAGTAGCTGGGACTACAGGCGCCCACCACCATGCCTGGCTAAATTTCGTACTTTTAGTAGAGATTGGGTTTCACCATCTTGGTCAGGCTGGTCTTGAACTTCTGACCTCAAGTGGTCTGCCCACCTCAGCCTCCCAAAAGGCTGGGATTACAGACATGAGCCACTATGCCCAGCCTGTCTTCAGTCTTTAATGTCCCTTCTCCCCTTGCAGAGGGCAGGCAAGGACCTGTGGATCTCTCCATAAATACATGTGGACATTTGCAAATGCAGAACTGACTGGTGGAAAAGGGAAAGCATGAACTGCTGGAAATCTGGCCCTCAAGGACCATGTGTGTTTGACAGTTATGAGATAGAACTTTGAGAAGAAATTTTGCAATTATTTTCTCCCATTCGACATTATGCTAAATGAAATAAGCCACTCACAGGGCAGATACTGTAGGATTCCACTTATCTGAGGTCCCTAGAGTAGCCACACTCGTGGAATCAGAGAGTAGAATGGTGGTTATCAGGGTCTGGGAGGTGGGGGGATGGAGAGTTGTTCATGGCTCTGCAGTTTCAGTTACGCAGGATGAGGAGGTGCTAGAGATCTGCTGTTCAGCTTGGTGCCTATAGTTCATACAGATTGAGTATCTCTTATGCATAAGGCTTAGGACTAAAAGTGTTTTGGATTTTTGACTGTTTTTGAGTTTTGAAAATATTTGCAGTATACTTACCAGTTTAGCATCCCAAATCTGAAAATACAGAATCCAAAGTGCTCCAGTGAACTTTTCCTTTCCTTTCCTTTCCTTTCCTTTCCTTTCCTTTCCTTTCCATTCCATTTCTCTCCCCCGCCCCCTTTTTTAAAATTTGAGATGGAGTCTCACTCTGTTGCCAGGCTGAAGTGCAGTGGCACAATCTCAGCTCACTGCAACCTCCACCTCCTGGGTTCAAGCTATTCTCCTGCCTCAGCCTCCCAAGTAGCTGAGACTACAGGCACGCACCACCACACCCAGATAATTTTTGTATTTTTAGTAGAGATGGGGTTTCACCATTTTGGCCAGGATGGTCTTGATCTCTTGACTTCATGATCCTCCTGCCTCGGCCTCCCAAAGTGCTGGGATTACAGGTGTGAGCCACCACTCCCAGCCTCCAGTGAGCATTTCTTTTGAGCATCATGTCAGTGGTCAAAAAATGTTGGATTTTGGAGCATTTCAGATTTTGGATTTTTGGATTTGGGATACTCAACCTGTAATACTATAATTTGCTCTTAAAAATTTGTCAGTAGTTTTGATCTCATGTTATTTTCTGACTATAGTTAAAAAAAATGAAAGACATTTGGGAAAAACATTAAATTTTTTCCAGAAGTGGAAATTGTTGTTAATGGCCTAAAGATCTAAGATCGGTTGCTGGAAGTAGTACCTTTCTTGATATTATACGAAGGTTTAAGTCTGCTCTCAATTCCAGTGGGATCACATTATGCTCAAAGGCAGATGCTGAAGGTGGTTTGAAATCAGTGACTCCCTGAGTAAAGAGAAGGGTATGAGTCCTGTTAGGAGGACAGAACCGGTCAGAGAGGAAGTCTTAGGTGTGTGAATTACATAAAAGGAGAAATGATGCCAAATTAGGAGAAGCGATGTGTGTTATGTTAGTAAGTTTAGAAAGTGCTCCCTGCCCCTGGTTCCTGTGCAGAGTTAGGCAAAAAGAGGAGAAGCCCCAAATCAGGCATGTGAAAGATTTTTTTCCTCTCCTATCAACCTCAGAAAGCACAACTAGAGTTTAAGTTTGTATAACTGGGCAGAGTCTAAGTGAGACGCCAGTGGCTGGTGCACTTCTTAGTTCAAGGGACCCCACCTTATGACAATGGCATCATCACGAGGACACAGGTATATGTAGAATGGACAGCAAACCCATCAGACAGCACCTGCTTGGCCAGTTGCACCTGGGGGAGGCCCCTGGATCCACTGGAGGATGTGAGCCCCACACCAGGATGAAGATGGAGTAGGTAGTGAAATGAGTGGAATAAGCATGTGGGCTTTGGGGACTGCAGACCTGTCCTTCTGCCTCTGACCTCCTGGTGAGTCAGTGTAGGAAGTGGATGGAGGAGTTGCTCATCCTTGTCCTGCTGCCTGTTCTGTGTGTTGGCCTCATGGAGGTAAAGAGCCCTGGGCGGGGACACAGCGGAAGCTCATTCTCCTGGTGACCTGTTGACATTGGCTTGTTATGGAGCCTGGCAGGAGCGGCTGCTCCAGCTGATTTCTGTGCCTTCCCTATTGCCTGGGAAGTGGGCCAGGCCACAGTGTGAGCGGGAAGAAAACAGGACAGCCAGCCTTGTTCGAGGGAGTGTCTGGGGAAGGCCTAAGAGTGGAGGGAGATGTTCAGGGATAGGCATCTCAGCTGGAATGAAGAGGGAGGAACACGGAGGAACAGGAGACAGTCAGAAATGCCCATGGCAATGAGACATGCGGGGTATAGTGACCTCAGAGACCCCAGGAGCAGGAGTCCCTTGGCTGTCCTGACCAGGACCAGGGAGCCTTGAAAACCCTCCCATGGCCAAGGAACCCCAGAGTCACATGAGATAGGATTACTTTCAGGACAGGGGGTCAGAGGAATGGTACATGGATCTTAGCCCCTGATGGACAGGGAACCGGCCAGAACTTCCTAGGATTCTGCATCCAGGATCCAGTCTCTATAGAGATTATGGATCATTCCTTCATTCATTCCCTCCTTCATGAGAGAGCTACTGAGCAAGAGTGTGTCTCACTTTGGGCCTGTGTTGGTGCAGGGGTGTGAGTGCGGAGAGAAAGCGAAGTCCTTTCCTTTATCCTCCCATAGGAGTGACACTGACAAATCGGGAAACACAGGATTTCAGGTCCAGTGAGGGGGCTGTGGATCTAAGGGAGAGGCCTGGACAATCCTGGCACTGACCTTGACAGTTGAGGTGATTTAGTTCTAGAGTAAAACTGATTAGCTCTCCATTTACTTCTCTCTCCAGACCAGAATCTCCACTTCTGAGCCGTGGATGCACAAGACAAAAGGAAGCAGACCCATGGCTGGTCTCAGGTCTGCAAATGCCTGACAACAAACAGCCCCACCCACCCCGGGTTGAGGAGAGGAGGCGGTTCTGGCTGCAGACAGACCTCATAGGTCTCTAATCTGCCATCTATGGCCTGTGTGACCCTTGTTAGTGACTGTCTCCCTGTGCCTCAATTTCCTTTCAATAAGTAGGATAAGTGTTATTTGGCTGTGAGGTTGTGAGTTAACCTCAAAATATTTACAATCACTTGATCTCAGCTCTGCACAGAGGAGCTGCCCAAATGAAGAGCATTTATGTTTATTTGCCTCCAAGAGAAAGGGCCCTGGGCCTGATCCCTGGTGGACAAGGAGCTGCCGGGAGCATCTTCTCTCCTCTGTTCCTCCTTCTGAAGACACTGAACTTCCCATGGAGTCACCTATGTCCCCAGGGCAATGGACTGATGCCCTAGTAACCTTGTCTATCTATCCTCCCCACATTGAGTCTCAAGTAAAGGACAAGGCTCTGTCCTTGCCCAGATGAGACTCTGGGGACAGGGAACAGGTGTGGCCAGAAACTCCGATTCTGCATCCAGAATCCAGCTCCAGGAGCCACGGCCCTTGGACAGCTGGTAAGTCCTTGCTCCCAGTCAGCCCTGCCCAGGAGGCCACAACCTAGCCCTGGCACAGGCTCCCCTGGGTCACTTGGAGTCAGGAGCCCTGAGGCTGAGCTTCTCTGTGAAGATCCCAGGACGTCCTTCAGGCCAGACCCTGATCCAGTTCTCCAGGGTCTTTCTCAGGGTCAGGTTTATGGGGAAGGCATGGGGTACTAGACTGAGACTGACCTCCCCGTGCTGAGTCCTCCCCATCAGACTGTCCTTCCTCTGCAGTGAGTGTCTGCAGGGTCTAGATGCCGGAAAGGAATTCTGATCTGTTGAAGTTTGTCCCTTCTGTGTGTGTCCTGCACTAAATGCCCAAACCCTAACATGGCACCTAATACAGAGGGGGCACAGGCACAGCCCAGGCCTGAGAATCCCGTATGTGGGAAGTAGAACTGAACCCCAACACCCAGAGGTCATGGGGAATCACTCACGGTATACCCGGAACTGGCCAGTTGCTTCTTCATTCACAAGATTTTCCTTTATGACTTGTAAGGTATAGAATCCTGCGTCATTCTGGGTGACGTTCTGGATCAGCAGGGATGCATTGGAGTCTATTGTCTCTCGACCGCTGTACGCGGGCCCTGGGGTAGTTTGATGAGTTCCTATTCCATATGATACAATTCGACGTTTGGCATCCACTCTTTCTCCCTTGTACCAGATGTAGCCAAAAAGATTCTGGGACAGATTGTGGGCAAGTAGAAGAACCTCCTTCCCCTCTGCGACATTGAACGGCCTGGATTCAATAGTGAGCTGGGCAGTGGTGGGCGGGTTCCAGAAGGTTAGAAGTGAGGCTAAGAGAGAGGAGAGAGCATCGGTCAATATTGGGATCTATGCATTAGGGTGGAAAAACGGGGCCCTGGGTCCTGAGCAGGTCTCTTCATCCCCCAGCCCCGGAGTGAGTGAGTGAGTGAGTGTGTATATGTGTGTCCTACTGGGTCAAGGTCAGCAGCATGACTCCTATTTCCTTAGCACCTCCGATCTTGGCATTTCGCTCTGTGGAATGCTCCTCCCCAGGGGTCTGCGTGACTGCCTCCCCACTGGCCTCAGGTCCTGCTCACATCAGGGCATTCTTGGGAAACTCCTTCCCTGACACCTCTTCTAGAGACCCTGGTTCTTTTCTTTCTGACCTTTCCCTGCTCTGTTCCCACCAGGGCTCTTGTCAACACCTGACCTCACATTTTAGATCTCTTTGCGTGTCTGTCTTCCTCCCCATGAGAGCATGAGCTTCATGAGGGCAGGGACTTGTGTGATCTTGAGTGCACCTCAGTGCCTGGGACAGGCTGCAGACTCCTGTGATGAGCTCATGAGCCTTCTCAGGGCCCTCAACGGCCTGGGGTTTATTTTCCAGTGTCTGCGGTAGGCAGGTGAGGACAATGTTTCATGCCCTGGTTATGTTTTCATTTAAAGTGTCATCTGATGCAGTTATTACGACTTTTGAAAATGTAGTGGCCAGTGACAATTAACTGGGAAAATATAACGCTTGAGATTTTCCTGCCCCGTTCCAATTCCAGTTCAATTTGATTTTTTCTGGTGTGACTCCTGTCCCTCTCTGATGTCCTCTTCCCTATTCAGGCTCCAACAGGCGCCCTCTGTCTGTCTTAGAGCCCTGTCCTCCCCAGGAGACCCCAGCCAGTCTCTGTGCCGCCTCCTCCCACCCTCTCCCAGGTTGTCCTCCCCTCACCTGTGAGCAGGAGCGTCTGCCAGGGGATGCACCATCTGTGAAGAGGGGCTGAGGGAGACCCCATGGTCTCTGCTGTCTGCTCTGTCTTCTTCTGTGGAGAAGATCCTGAGTTCTAGGAATGTCAGGGCGGCTGTGACTGCCTGGTCTGCTGTCCTTCCTCCCTCTGTCCTGAGTCTCCTCCTACAGCAGGAGTACTTCTCGGCATCATGTGGGTCATGGGTGTGGTCTCTATTCAGGTGTCCTCTGTCCCCTCCCCTCTCATTTGCGTCTTTTGTCCCTCCTCCTTTTTCCTTTCTGTTTTCAGTTCCCCAGACAAAACTGTTTGGCAAGGTAGATGGACTCCCGTCCCCTGGGAGGACAACCTGCCTTCCCCAGTGCTGAACTCTGCTGTGTTCTGGCCTTGGATCTGTCACACCAGGGGGATTATTTTCCTTTGTGACAGAGAAACCCAGCTGGGCCCTGGGTCTCCCCACGCTCTCCAGTGCTTTGGGAAGGTGGGATGATGTTCAGTAGGAAGGTGACGGAGGTGGCTCTGGGTGATAGAAAAGGGCTCACTGGGTGGTGACTGGGGAGGGATCAGCCCTCTGTCTCTAGTACCACCAGCCCGGCCTCTGACCCAGGGATGGAGACCCAGGCCCAGAGGTCTCAGGAGTCCCCAGCTCCTGCGTGTGGAGAGGGAGGTGTCTTGTGTGTCCTGGAAAGAGAGGACTGTGGTGGAGGGAGGTGGGTGACTCTGAGCTCTGCTGTCCTTGGGGGAGGCTCCAGGGAGACCCTCCCTCTCCATGTCTGTGGGCTGAGCTGTGGCTTAGGGCCTGTCCGTGTTCTCCCTGACTGTCCTGGGTGGTCTCTGTCCTCTGCGAGGCTGACTGTCCTGTGGTCACCCCACATTCCCTGTGGTGGTACCAGGAGGGAGTCGGGAGTTGCACAGGGACCCCTGGCAGAACACGGTACTCATAGAACCCAGAAAGGTACGAGGAAGAGATCAGAAGGGTCTGTTGGAGCAAGGGATGGAAACCAGGCTCCACCTGCACTTGCTTAGCAAAGCCAGGTTCCTGTCCAGGGGAATCCATTTTTCTGAGTGTTGTCTGTCTGCGATGTCGCCCCCTGGAGGGCAAAACGAGACCTGCGGCCTTGTCTGGAACTGCCCTAGGGATGCTGACCAGGGTCCACGTGGTGTGAGCTGACCCTGAACCCTGGATTAGGCTGCAGGGTCTGGCCGGCCCAGGTTCTATTCCATGCAGGCCTCTGTCCTCCCTTCTGAAGCTCCGGGAGTTGAGGACTCGTGCCTGGGGCAACCGTGGGCACTTGCTGGCCTCCTCCCGAGCTGGTGCCAGTGCCCCTGTGTCCACAGGAACAGACTCTGACTTCCGGGGGCCACACGGAGGTGATATGCTTCTTTTTAGATATCTCCCACACATTTAACCAGTATTTACCGAGCATCTGTCTCATGTCAGGCACTGGACTGGGCCCTGGGATTCCACAGAGAGCAGGACAGGCGTGGACCCTGCACCCACAGAGTTTTCCTGTAACAGGGAGGCAGGGGCTTAGTGAACTTCGTGGGGCTGCGGAGTTAATGGTAATGAGAGAAGGGCAGTGAGGTGACAGCATTGGGGGCGTCGGAGCCTGTGAGAGACTGAGCTGTCCTGGACATCACAGGGAACTGCCCTGGGAAAAGCCCTTTCAGCTGAGCCTTGGGAAGGAGGGGGTGTCGGGGACAGGAGCTGCCTGCAGAGGGAGAGGCCTCAGGTGGGCGGCCGCCGGTCTGCAGGGAGGAACTGACAGAGTCTGTGTGGGGAGCTCGGAGGGCGAGGAGGACGTGGGCCGAGGTGACCCTGGTGAGGGTGGACCCTGCTGGGCTGTGGGACCGATTGAAGGAGGTCAGCAGCCTCTGGGGAGGCTCCAGGTTGGGAGGAACTCTGCCGCCCTCTGGTGGACGAGGAGGGAAGTGGAGACAGCAGCGACCCCAGACCAGGCTGTTTTACTCAACGCTGATCTGTAGGCGTTGAACACGGGTCATGCACGTGTTGTGACTTTGTTTTTGTCTGCAGGAAGCTGCACTGTGCATGCCCCCAGGGGCAGTGATGTCTGGGGCTGAGCGCTGTGCGGGGATCTGGGAGTAGAAGATTGTATTAGTCTGTCCACGCATTGCTATCAAGAAATACCTGAGACTGGGTAATCTATAAAGAAAAGTGGTTTAATTTGCTCATCATTCTGCAGTTGTACAGGAAGCATAGTGGCTTCTGCTCCTGGGGAGGCCTCAGGAAACTTACAATCATTCTGAACGGTGAAGGGGAAATAGGAACGTCTTACATGGCAGAGCATGAGTAAGAGAGAGAGAGAGAGGGGAGAGGTGCTACACATTTTTAAACAACCAGATCACGTGAAACCTCTATCACAGAAACAGTGTCAAAGCAGAAAATCCACCCACATGATCCAATCACTTCTCACAAGGCCCCACCTCCAACACTGGGGTTTACAATTTGACATGAGATTTGTGCGGGGACATAGATCCAAATCATATTAGAGAGGGAAGGGCATGAGGGGAAGGTGAAAGTCAGGGGAGCAGAGAGGAGCAGGGGCAAGTCAAGCTCACTTCTTATTCCCTGGGGACCAGAACAGGGGATCCCGACTCTGGGGGCACAGCACCACACACTCTCTGTGTCCCTGCATCAGGGGAGGTGAGAGTTTGTTCCCTGTTCATGGGACCTGGCCTCACCTGCTGAGATGTCTTCACACTTACAGTCCCACCCTGGGCTGCAGCCACAGAGCCTGTGTCCTCCTCTCCTCTCCTGCCCATTCCTGGGTTTTTCTTCCCGCGCCATCTTCTCCCATCTGTGGCTTCATCTGCCCCTGTTCCAGGCAGCTACCCCTGGGCTCACTGGCCTCTGCCATTTGTTCTGAGCCATGAGCCCCGAGCCCTGTGAGGGAGGAAGGCTGAAGCTGAAGGCGGGGGTGGGGCGGGGGGTGGGGGGGGCGCTGTCCAAGGTGCTGCCCTCTCTGGATAGCCTGAGTAAGGGACCCTGATGTGTCAGCAGGGAGGAGGCTCCGGGAGGGAGCTGTGTCAGGGATGCCTGGATCAGGGGGTGGGGGCACCTACGCCAGGGTGAGCTGGACCTGTGAACTGCAGGGACCCCGTTCTGTGTCATCCATCAGCTCCTCCAGCCCGTCTTCCTCTCTGTAGCTGATTCTCTGGTGTGATCCCTGAGCCCATGCTAGAGTCCTCCTCACAATGCCTGATGGTCAGAGCTGTCTGTGGAGACTTAATGGGGCGGGGGGTCTCGTGTGCTCACACAGAATGCCCCGGGAACAGGCTTCATGATCTCCCTTGTCCCAACCCCACAACAAGATCTGGACAGTGGGCTGGGTCAGATAAAGTCAGAATCCATGAGAAGGGGGTGTGTCCTGGCAGTGCTGAGGTTTGTGCCTCAGTCTCTTTGCAGATATATTTGTGTTGTGCATCTGCAGTTGGCTGGGAAGCCTCATGTCCTTACATCCTTGGTTATTTCTGTGCAGAAGGTCATGAGGGGCCTGTACATGGGTACAATGAGGACCGTCTGATTAAGACGGATGTATTTTACATGGTGGACTTTCCCTCTCCCAGTGTTTTTTAGATGTAGTAAAATATATAAGATAAAATATGCCACATTAATCATGTTAAGTGTACAATTAAATGCCATTGATTACATTCACAATATTCTACTTCCTCACTGCTATATTTTTTTCCAGAAAATTTTCATCATCTCACATAGAAACTTCATACTATTAATCAATAACTCCCCACTTTCCCCTGCCCCTAGTCCTTGGTAGCCACTGATGCTATCTCTTATTTTTATTTATTTATTTATTTTTTTGAGACATAATCTCATTCTGTCACCCAGGCTGGAGTGCAGTGGTGTGATCTCGGCTCACTGCAACCTCTGCCTCCTGGGTTCAAGCGATTCTCCTGCCTCAGCCTCCAGTGTAGCCAGGATTACAGGCATGTGCCACCATGGCTGACTAATTTTTGTGTTTTTAGTAGAGACGGGGTTTCACCATGTTGGCCAGGCTGATCTCGAACTCCTGACCTCAAGTGATCCACACACCTCCGCCTCCCAAACTGCTCGAATTACAGGTATAAGCCACCGCGCCCAGCCACTGATGCTATCTCTATGAATCTGCATAGTCTACATGTTTCATATAAGTGAAATCATACGCAGGTATCATTTTGCTTCTTGGCTATTTCTCTGAGCATAATGACTTTAAGGTTCACCCACATTATAGCTTCGTTCCTCTCTATGGGTGAGTAATATTCCAAGGTACCTCATTTCTTTACCCATTAATCAGTTGAAGGACATGTTTTTTTTCCTACATTTTTGCTACTGTGAATAGTGCTGCAATAAACATATACCTAGAAGTATCTTTTTGAATCTTTGTGATTATTTCTTTGGGGTATACTTAGGAGTAGAATTGCTGGGCCATATAATTCAATGTTTAATTTTTTTGAGAAACAGCCAAATTGTTTTCCACAGCTTGCTGCGCAATTTTATCTTACCACCAGTAATGTACAAGAGTTCCATTTTCTCCACATCCTTGTCAACACTTGTTATTTAACATCTTAAAAAAGCACAGCTGTCCTTGTAGATGTGAAGTGGTATCCCACTGTGAGTTGGATTTTGACTTCCCTGATGGCTAATCAAGTTGAACATGTTTTTGTGTGTTTATTGGCTATTTTCATATCTTTTGTTGGATAACTGTTTATTCCAGTTGTTCACTCATTTAAAAAACTGGTTGGCCAGGTGTGGTGGCTCACACCTGTAATCCCAACACTTTAGGAGGCCAAGGTGGGTGATCTGGAGTTCAAGACCAGCCTGGACAAGATGGTGAAACCCCTCTCTACTAAAAATACAAAAAATTAGCCAGGCATGGTGGTGGGCGCCTGTAATCCCAGCTACTCGGGAGGCTGAGGCAGAGAATTGCTTGAACCTGGCAGGCAGAGGTTGCAATGAGTTAAGATCATGCCACTGCACTCCAGCCTGGGCGACAGAGTATAACTCTGTCTCAAAAACAAACAAACAAGCAAAAAAAAAAAAAACCCACAAAAAACAAAAACAAAAACAAACCAACAACA